AAGACAAAATAAAAATTCACAGGAGAGACAAATTCAGAGAAAGTAAGATCACCCTTCTGGAATCTTTAGAAAATTCTCTATGAAATGAGTGAAACCGCAGGTATAATTTGAATGGATAAATAGGAATGAAGAAGAGAACACTATGCTAAAAGAATAGGAAATAGGCTTCTGCACAAGCAATGAGTCAAATCTTACGGTTAGAGTTAAAAGCATACTGGAAATGATGAAGAATTAAAGTTTAAAACAAAACTGCATTTCTGCACAGCAAAGGACACCATCAACACAGTGAAAAGGCAACCTATGGAAATGGGAAAAATGTTTGTAAACCAAATATCTGATGTGGGGTTAATATCCAAAATATATAAAAACTCATGCAACTCGTTTGCAAAAACAATAAACAATGCAATTTGAAAATGGGAAGGGGGAACTGAATACACATTTTCTTGAGGAAAATACACAAATGGCCAACAGGTACATGAAAAGGTGCTCAACATCACTTATAATCAGGGAAGCACAACTCAAAACCACAATGAAATATCACCTCATCTCTCCTAAAATGGCTGTCATCAAGAAGAGATTTGTGCTGGCAAGGATGTGGAAAAAAGGGAATCCTTGTGCACTCTTGGTGGAAAAGTAAAATGGTATAGCCACTATGGAAAACAGTACAGAGGATGTTTTTAATAATTAAAAATAGAACTAGCATATGATCCAGCAGTCCCATATCTGCATATGTATCTAAAGGAAATGAAAAGGGTATCAACAATATACCTGCAGTCTCATGTTTACTGCAGCATTATTCACAACGGTCATAATATGGGAACAACCTAAGTGTTCATGTATGGATAAATAGATACGCAGTACATACATACAATGGAGTATTAGGGAAAGAAGGAAGCCTGCCATTTGCAACAACACAGATGGACCCTGAGGGTATTACATTAAGTGAAATAAGCAAGAGAGAGAAAGACAAACAATGGATGGCATCATTTATATGGGGAATCTAAAAGACAGAAAGAGAGAGTAAAAAAAGGTTGACTGAGAAAAAAATCAGGAGAGGTTGGTAAAAGGGGACAAACTTTCAGCTATTAGAAGAATAAGGTCTGCAGATCTAATGTAAATAATGGTGACTATGGTTAATACTGTATGATATAATCAGAATTCATTAAGAGAATAGAAATTAAACATTCTTATCAAAAAAAAATATGTGAGGTGATGGATGTGTTAATTAAGTAAATGGTAGGAATTCTTTCACAATGTGTATGTATTTCAATTCACCACAATGTACACTTTAAATTATCTTGTAATTTGCTCTGTCGATTATACTCCAACAAAACTGAAAAGAAACAAAAGTAGAACTGTCCTCTCCCCCAAATTGTGATTGGTTTGTAGAGGGCCTTGAATGCCTAGAAAATAACAGCCAGTTATCAAAGTTTCTGAACTAAGAAGACATGTTAAAGTACTGGTCTTCTCCTTAATCTGCACCCTGGACTTCTTTCAATCTCTCTCTCACTTTTTTCAATAAATTTTTTTAACGTTTAACTATTTTTAAAAAAGACAGAGACAGAGCATGAGCAGGGGAGGGGCAGAGAGAGAGAAACACAGAATCTGATGCTGGCACCAGGCTCTGAGTTGTCAGCACAGAGCCCAACATGGGGCTTGAACCCACGAACCATAAGATCATGACCTGAGCTGAAGTCAGATGCTTAACCAACTGAGTCACCCAGGCACCCCTGCACCCTGAATTTTTCTAAGGCATGACTTCAGGAGAAGGAATGAAAGAAAGGGACAAGGAAAGATAAGGAAGGGAGACTGAATGAAGGGCTCACTAATTGGATGTGAAAAGAAAAGGGAAAAACAAAACAAAACAAAACAAAACATCAAAAATGATCCTGAGCTTTTAAATCTGGGAGAACAAAAACAACCTTTATCTCCAATATGCTGATTTCCAGGTAGTGATGAGTGAAGAAACAACAGTGAGTTCAATCTGCAACTGAAGAAAATACTGGGATTGGAATCACAGAGTTGATGTGTTCATTTCCCAGGGCTGCTGTAACAATTTACCACGACTGAGGGGCTAAACACAACAGAAATGTATTCCTTCACAGTTCTGGAGGCCAGAAGTCTGAAATCAAGCTGTCGGCAGGACCATCTCTTTCTCTGAAAGTACTAGGGGAGAATCCTTCCTTGCCTCTTCCAGCTTCTGGCTTTCCTTGGCGTATGGCAGCATAACAATTGGTCTGCATTATCACATGACCTTCTCCTTTTTTGTCTCTGTGCATGTGTCTCCTCTCTTATAAGAACACGAGTCATAGGAATTGGGCCCAGACTAAGTCCACCATGATCTTATTTCTACATCCTTGACTTGGACATATCTTTTGAGGGGACACTATTCAAACCACTGCAGTTGAGAACTCAACAAAGAACACGTTTTCTTTGAAAGAGTACGGTAAATGTAGGTGAAGACCATAAATTCAGGTACCTCCAAATTTAGAAAATGGGTAAAGGAAGTGGTGGTAAGAAATAGAGGTGAAATATAAAAAGAGAATCAGGACCAAGAAAAAGAGAAAAAATCAAGACCACGGGGTGATTTAGCACATCAAACATGGTGAAGTAAAGGAAATAAATGCTGAGATGCCTAGGAAGGCATGATTGTGTGTGTGTGTGTGCGTGTGTGTGCACGCACACACGCACACACACACATCCCGAACCACGGCATAATTGTTAAGAATTTTTGTAATGAATAAATAAAAAATGGTTCTTCAGCTTCTCTAGGGAGAAACAAATAATTCTGGGTCATACTGAACAATACATCAAAGAACTCCCCAGATGTCCAGATCAAAAGAAAAAATAATTAGAAAATTATATAAAGATGTCCAGTCTGCCAAAGGCAACATACCAAAAAAAAAGAAAGAAAGAAAAAAAAATTACTTAACATGGGATCATCAACTGGTCAAAGACCAGAGGGTGAGAATCAAAAGAAATGGCTTTTGGTGAGGCCACTGGAAGCACAGTCTAGAATGTTGAGAGGCAGCTATTAGAAAGACAATGTAGGCCTCTTCAGGATCCAAGCACAAGGAAGTTTACTGGAAGAGAATGGATGAGGTCATTTGGAATAAAGATTTGTGAGCAGGGGCTAAGATTTATTTCTACACAAAGAAAAAGACAGACATCAGTAACTACTCAAAAGTATAATAATTTACACCCTTGTAGTATAGTTCTATGATAATTAAAATTTTAAAACAATCCTAAAAGTGCTACATTTTAAATGACTTACTATGAAGAAATGCAGAGGAGTTACAGCCACAAAATGCAGTCTTTGGGGACACTGACTTTGCCTCTGCTTATCTCACTCGGTTTCAATCTCTGCTTCTTGTTCATGCCCGGGCAGGCCATCGCCTTCACATTCCCACATCTTTGAATGTGGTTCCTCTTGCCTGACTAAGGCACACCCACACAGATGTTAATCCTGAACCCAAAAATCACCTCTTCCGTAACACTTCACCCAATTACCTAGCAGTTACTTTGCAAAACTTTGTAGCAAATGATTTTATCATTTGAAAAAATAACTATCCTCCTGATTTGTAAGGTGAGATTTTTTTTTTTTTACCACAGACATTAGATAAGAAAATCTTTATAGAAATAAGAAGACAGCTGAATAGATGATTTTCTAAAGAGCTACTGAATTTAAGCATTTTTTGCTTCATTTCTACCCTGATTTCTATTTACATTCTAAAGGCATTTAGTTTATAAATTACAATTAAAAACTATGGTTAAAATTTTTAAAGTTAAGAAAGCATAGAAATGTTTATTAGTTGGTTGGGAAGTGTTAATTTACCTAACCATTGAGTTTACTAAACTTCCAAGGGGAAATAAAACCCTTCAAGTAGATATAGGAAAACTTCTCAGTGTCTCATATATCTCAACATAAAATTTGCTCTCAAGGTTACTTAAATCGTTCATCTGATTACAAGCAACAAAATATACAGTCTCATGTTCAATCCCCTTTGCTTAAAACTTCATTTACAGTCCACATGAATAAAGCAAGGAATGTACGTATTTTATAGCTATGAAAAGTAGTTTGCAGGAAAACCACATATTGCAGGAAAATGTGGGAGTAAACAGAAGCAAAGACACACCTAGAACACTGCTTTGAACATAAAGAGTATAGAAAAGAACTGAAATATATTCTCTATAAAAAGACACTTTTTAATTTTTATTTTTTTAACTATAAAGTGTCTATCGGGGCGCCTGGGTGGCGCAGTCGGTTGGGGTTTATCCCACTCTCAGCCAGGAACACGATCTTCATGTCCTGAGTCTCATCTCCGGCCAGGCTCTGGGCCACCAGGAGCCTGGAGCCCAGCCCATCTCTGTGTCTCCCCCCTCTTGCCCCTCCGCTCATGCTCTGCCCCTCTCTGTCCCAAAAAATAAATAAACGCTGAAAAAAAAAAAAAAAAAATTGGTGCAAAAAAAGAGAGCTCACCTGATTAGCTCAGGGCCACTTGAGGTAAGCTCCCTTTAAAAAAAATAAATAAATAAATAAATAAATAAAGTGTTCATTCACTAAAAGTGTCAGGAATTCTAACCTTGCAGTCACTGAAGTCAAGGATACATCTGGGCCATAAACCATCATCGCCATATAGTTAATTCATATATTTAAAAAAAAAAAAAGTTCAAAAATAAGTATTTGCATCCCCAATACATGCATTCAGCAAGCGCCTCTGGTTGGGCCTTAGTTAGTCAGGACTTTAAAGTTTATGGATGATTTATTTGCTTGAATATGAACGCTACTTAAAATTGACACATTTATTCTTTACAGCATCACAGAACTGTACATAATCTCTTCCCAGGGCCAATATTACTAATAACATGTTATTCATCTTATCACATATTAGTAACTTAGTGACCTTATTAGTAGATGAGGTGGAAAAGGACAAGTAAGAGGAAAAATAGATGGCCCCCTGCCCCATCCTAAAAACACAAAACAAAACAAAATTACGCACCTTATCTGTTTCATCCACACTCAAGGATTTCACTACACAAGAAGCTGGCCTCTCCTGGATGTGAGCAAGGTCCTGCGGGGCGCTCTGAGACCCTGGCATTGGAGGCAGTGGAGCCCGCCTCTTCTTGGGCGCATCCGATGGCAGGGTGTTTGAAATGTATGGTTTGGAAATGGTGTTGGACCTAGTAAAAGCCGGGCGATGCTTACTTACTAGAGGAGTTGCAGGAGCACTTGCAGTCTGAAAAAGAATGAAAAGGCAAAATCTATAGGTAATTTCAAGATAAAAAGCACATGCAATTAAAAAAACAGATGAGAAGAATCTTAGAAAACATTACATAAGAAAATTTTTACCTGTTCCCGCTTTTTCTTACTGCGTTGAAAAAAGCTGAAAAAACCTTTATTGTCTTTCTCCTTCATAATGTCTAGGTTCTGTGATATTTGGCAGGATTCTAAAATAGAAGAGAAGGCTCTTACTTTTGTACATGGAGTTGTATATGTTCACCTCCAAGTTTTCCCTTGAAAAGCTTATCAAGTGATAAAAGCTACTAATTATGATTGACTACGAACCATGCATTCTGCTTATTCAATTCTCAAAGCAACATGTAAATTTAGTATTATTGTTCCTATTCCAGAGCAGAGCAATCTGAAGATTAGAGAAACAAACATACATACTTGGGGCCAACAATCAAGAAATGACAGAGCTAGGACATAAACTCAATTCTTTGTGACTCAGAGTCTGTGTTCTATGCACAATTACCAACATCTCAGAAGTAAAATGGACACTTTGAATTAAATGAGATATGAAGCTGTTATCATACAGTTTGAATTTTTATTTTATCTCAGAGCTAAACAGTTATGAAATACTGTATTCTCCAAAACATGATTCATTATTACTTTATTAAGTGTTTCAAAACATTATTTCTTTAATCTGATGGTTCTCAACGAAGGGGCAAGTTTCCCCACTCCCATCCCCCAAGAACACTGGATAATGTCTGGGGACAATTTTAGTTGTCACAACTGAGGTAGGGAAGGAGAACGTGCTACCAGCATCTACTGGGTAGAGGCCAGTGATGCTGAGCACACTACAATGCACAGGACAGCCCCCCAACAACAAAGGGTTATCCGGGCCCAAATGTCAATAGAGCCAAAATTAAGAAACCACATTTTAATCAGAATGGTAAATGTCCACCCTCATGATTGCATATTAACATTCCATTTTTCCAAAAAGTATTTCCTAATGTCAACTAAAAAGGTCTACAAACAATGACAAATCTAGTAGTGCTGAGGAACCCTGGCCCAGATAGTCTCTAAATACCATTTCCCACTAAAAGAGGACCACAACTGCATACAAATGGTTGATTCTTTGTGATATCAAGGATTGTAAACATTAGTCTGGAATATCTAGTCATAGTAGACAGAAAGAAATCAGAGTCAAAGGGGGTCATTTTAAAAGGGTACAGGAACCAATCTGACATGGTTTTTACTGACCAAAGTCAGGACAACTTGGGCATCATACGAATAACTCAATAAATTGAAACATTTTGCATACGTTTAATTCCATGCATTTATAATGATACTGAAGAAAATAACATCCTCACTGTTTACCTTTGGGTACTGCTAAGGAACCAGTCTGTTATGTTAAAAACTGATGAAGGAAAAGAGTCACACTTTTTTTCATGCCTCTTCTGAATGAATTCTACCCAGGTAGACAAGCTGATATGGGGAAATTTGCTGTTTCAGAAATATCTCATCTCAATTAATAACTAAAGGAATATTTGCAGATTATGATTATTTTCCAACTCCTAATCAAGATTTAAGCAATGATTATTGATGGCTAACATCAAAAATGGTTAACTTGCAGGGCACCTGTCTGGCTTAGTCGGTAGAGCATGCAACTCTTGATATTGTGGTCCTGAGTTTGAGTCCCACATTGGGTGCAGAGACAACATACATACATACATGTGACTGGCTATTACGTGGCTGCTGATGAAAGTACATAATACCACCTATGAAGTATTCTTGCTGAAAATATCTCACCCAAATCTGATCAAGTCTCTAGGTTTAATAGTCAATGTACAGGAAATAGAGATGACCAAGACGCATGTTTAATTGCACCAGAGGATGCAATCAGCAAAATTCTGAATGTGGGAAACTCAAGAAAACAGAAGACCCGTTTTCTTCAACAAATGACTTGCAAATTAAAAAAAAAGAGAGAGAGAGAAAAACATGGAATGGGGAATCTGTCAGTTTTAAAAAACATTTCTACTAAGGAGCACATATGTATTTTATGGTAAATCACAATATAATTTCAGTGACATTTGAGACAAAGTACTATATATTGAAATGGTCTAAACCACGACTTAGAGGTAAATGTATAGTCTTAAATACATTTAAATATTAAATACATACCTCTTTCTTAGGACTAAATGCATAGTCTTTTTATTTAAAAGATATGTTTAAGGGGGCACCTGGGTGGTTCAGTCGGTTGAGTGTCCAAGTTCGGCTCAGGTCATGCATGATCTCATGGTTAGTGGTTCGAGCCCCACGTCAGGCTCAGGGCACACAGATTCCTTGTCTCCTTCAGATTCCGTGTCTCCCTCTCTCTCTGCCCCCCCCCCCCCCCCCCACTTACACTCTGTCTCTCTCTCCCCCAAAATAAACATTAAAAAAATAAAAAAAATAAAAAAGATGTTTAAAAATAAATTATGACAAAATAGGGGCCACTCCAAGAAAGCAGACATAGTTAATGACAATAAATATATTAATCCAATATGCCTCAATAACACATTAAAGGAGAACTATATTTCTCAGATGAACTCTTCATAAATCTGATGCTTGAAACATTAAGTAAGTAGTATGCTCTGTACAATGAGTTTACTGACAATACTAATAATGAATGGATAGCACTTTACGGTTACAGATTTTTCACATGCCTAATTTCTTTCCTATAACAACCCAGTGAGGTAGGTATCACAAATTATCATTCTGAGCCCTTTTTCTAAGTTAGAGAATGTAAAGAAAAGGAAGCAGAATCTAGTATCTATTCAAAGATATGTATAATACCTTTGACTTTTCCTTTTTTTTTTTTTTTTTTTAGAAATGCTATTTCATCTTAAGATAGACTTTTCTGCTAATTGAATGTAGACATACAATTAAATTGAGGTGGAACAGTAGACAGAAAATTCACATGGTGGTACAGTGCAATCAATATAACCAAATTATTTCTTAAAGCAATTTCTAGGCACTTTGCCATTCTCCATACTACTTAACCTAAGTCTTCACTTACAGCTCTATGGAAGAGATCACCACGAGTCAGAGTTAAACACTAAGAAACACAAGGGCTTCAGCTTACTTAGAAAAACAACTCAAAAACACTGTAGTTTCCTGTTTCCAGAAGAGAGACTCTAAATAACTGCATACAAAGTTCTAAGACTTCTGATAATATCAGACAAAATTAGCAGGCAGAGGCATTTAGAGCATTTCTGTTGATCTTGTGGATTGTGACACTGTAAAATGAGCTTTCTTAATTTTCCTAGTCCAATCTCTTAAGGTTAAATTCACAACTTTTAATTACCCTGAATAAACCACATATTTTCTGGGCTTGGAAGGGATATCACAAACCGATGCATTAAACACCTCCAAAATGAGGCAACAAGACTATGGAATTTGCTTTGGGTTGTGTATGTAGAGAATGGCTAAGGTAGAAGCGAAAGCTATGTTTAAGTACTAGGATGTTGCTACTGGAAAAAAGCCCATTTTTTCCCCCAATCTATTATTATAGAAGTGGAAGGTGAGATCCCGACAGATAAAAAGCTATTCACCCTATCAACTTGCTAAATGAGTTTGACAGCTAATGCAGTTTCAGAATTTAAATGCCTATCCCCTGATTATTAGCCAATGTATGCTTTATGATCATAACAGTTTTCAGCTCCTTTGATTAGCGTAGTCTTTATGATAGCCACTAATAACAAAGAATCACAACATTACTTATATAGACTAATTCTTGGGACTGAGAGGCTTACTGTGCTATAGGAAAATTGAAAGTGGTAAAGAAAGAAGATTCCAATAACACATAATGTTTCTTAAGTTTCTTTTATTAAGTTTCTTATTTTTTGTAATACGTTTATTAGGTTTCTTTTTTTTTTCAGTAGAGTGGTAATTATTATAGTAATAAATTATCTGAGTCTATCCTTTTTTAATGGAGGAAAAAGGCTTCCAGACTTTATTATTATAGGCTAATTTTTAATAAAGTTTCCCTCTATGAAAGTAATACATTCCCATTATAAAATTCTGCACTATAAAGAAAAGGTTGAAAAAAATTACCCATAGCCCTACCAAAAGGTAACCAGTATTAAAATTTTTTTATGTACTTCATTTCAGAAATTTCATGTAAAAATTTTTTTACATACTTTATTAAATTCATTTAAATGCTTTAAAAGCTAATTTTTTAGCATAAGTATTTTCCATGTTATTATAAAATGTACACAATTTAACACTGCAAAAATTTTCAATAATGAATATACCCTGGTTATAATGTAAATAATCTGAAATCCTTTCTTGGTACCACCAAACTATCACCAACTGAACTTAATAAATAAACCAGAAAAATCGTTTTTTCTTATATGAGAGTCAAAAATATGTTTCTCACATTCTTAGGATGATATTAATTTTTAAGCAGTTATTGAAATGTAATTATTATATTAATTTCAGAAATCAAAGGTTGGGGGGGGTTCTTAATTTTCAGGAAATGAGAGCCAAAAGTTTTCTTACAGCATGTACACATTAGTAATGTTAAGAAAACAGGTAAATTAGAGGCTTATTTTTAATTGATCCAATAAAAATAGAGATTTCATGTTATAATTTTTTTCTACTGATTCATATGTCTTACCTTGTAAAGATGACTTATTGGAGGCAGTAACAGAAGTGGCTACAGAAGGAGGGGGTAAAAGAGGGTAAATTGACTGTAAAGATGATGTTTGTTCAAGTATAAAACACCACTGAGTTGAAATAGCTGTCTATGGATTCTATAAATCCACAATTTGAGGATGAAATTTGAAGTGCTCCATGCACAGGGGATGTAAGTAATCATCCTTCACTAAACTTTTATTTCCTGTGAAACACATGTTGAATAAATAAGCTTGCATTTATCTATTAGCATAGAAACCAACATAACCTAAGATCTCCAAATTTTAATACGTTAAATTATTTCTACAGATTAACACTGCCAGTTATTTTTATTTAGAAAAGTTTTGGAGTTAGATTTTTTATAAGCCAGTTGATTTTGGGAGAACCTAGAAAAAAAATCTTTCCAGAAACTTATAAATTTGAATGATAATTAAGACTCAGGCAAAACCATGGTGAGTCTACAGTAATTCACACTTGATTAAAACAACAATGAATTTAAATGTAAATTTTTATTTTCTGTTTAAATCTCAAAGCCACAAAGAATTAAGTTAAATCCCACCAAAAACTATTCATAGGTTGATGAAAAAGTGTAAAATGTGAATCACAAAGAAGATAAGTTTTTGTTCTAATTTCAAAAAATGAAATCAAGTTAAATTTTATTACATTTTCTCTTATTACCAATGACATGTATTGACCTCTATTTACAGGATCCATGAACTTGTCATTATGAACTTCAGAAACTCTATTCACAAACACAATACATGCGCTTACATGAACCTCCTGTCAAGTGTATAAAACAAAGAGTCTTCCTTACCTCTGCTGACATCCATGGCATATAATTCTCTTAGTCCCAGGTCATTAAGAGATTTTGTCAAATCAAGGGGCTCCTGAGATTGATAATCCTTCAACAACAGTGTATGCAGTGGATCAAACTCACATTTGCTGCATATAATGGGGGCAAGTTCTTGAAGTGGTGCATGTGGGCTAACTCTCACTATTGTCTTCTGCGTTTTCTTAAAATTGATCACGACTCTCACAGTTTTCTGAAACACAGAATATATCCATAGTTATTACCATAATTTATTTACTAAAACATTCCACAATGATATCTATAATAAAGAGATAATCTACAATTATATAGTCTTACAATAAACAGTAATTTTCTATTTTGGTGTAAAATTGTTTTTTTTGTCCTGAAGCATATTCTTAAAAATAATTTGTTTATTAAATAACCTAGATTAAATTCATAGCCCTTGTAAGGTATAAGTTGGTTTTACATTCAAGAGGGAACATAAAATACTATTGACATTTTGTTTTGTTCCCTAACATGTTTATAAGTGAGCAAACACCCATAATAATAAAGAGTTGCACATGTTCTATTTTATGTTTCAGCTGAAGAATATTTATCTAGTGGTTTGCCAGTTGTTTGGATGAAAAAAGTGGTATTTGGGTTAAAATATAGAATTTTGTACTTCTCTATTGGAAATAAGATAAATGAGATAATCCATATAAAAAGCTTAGCATAGGTCGGCACATAAATTATCAACAAATAAACATTAGCTATTGTGATTACCTGTTGTCACTATTATTTGACAATTTAGATATCTAGTTATAATTAAAATTATTGAAAAGATTCTAAACATATCATTTTAATGTAACTGAATTTATTCCTGTATATAAATGGAATTCAGAAACATGTTACCATGCTAAATCTACAGTTTGTAGATTCTCAAAGCTTAACATGTATTCATTAAACTATAACACAATGTATAATCCCATGCTATAGCACAAATATTTCCACCTAGATACATACATATCTAGATGGAAAATAGTCCAATGTCCTAATTAATTCTTAATGTTAATATTTTATATAATACAAATGTTTTAATACTGTAAAAGAATTCTTAAATTTTTAATAAAAAGCTACATAACAATATGAAGAAAATGTGAGAATATATACACTCAAGTCATATGTAAATAAACTGAATTTAATATACAGACTTTTATATATTCCCCGAAGTTAAAATGGTTGATGTTCCTAATGAAAAAATAGTTCTTGAAACTCAAAAAATTCTATCCCTACTGCTTACAGAAACAGAACAATTTTGTAAACAAAGAAGAATTGTTAGAATCATCATGGTTAAAAATTTTTGAGAGCAAAAAACATTCTGCTTAAAATCCATATAATACAGAAAACTGAGTCATTATATAGCTCAAATTAACAATTTAGAATAAGTAAAACCACCACTTACCAAGTACAGAGAAGCCAAAAAATATTTTAATTCTTAAATAAAGTTTCATTAAAAGATTCTAAAACCTTCCTCTTTTTGAAAAAGTTAGTTAAAATGTAGATAATTTATAATTCTCAGATTCTGATATGGTCCTAGAGATCACCTTAGAGCATCTAAAATCTAAAGTATTCCTCAAATTCTAGTTAATCCAAAGATCAATAACTAAATGAATCCTAAACAAAGTGGCCTAGGCAAACAAGATAGCCATGCTCACAACAAATTTAAACAGGAAGTCCATTTTTATTTCATTTGAAATAAATACAACCTTCAGTTAATGACTGAAAAATCAATTTAGTATTTTTCCCAGAAGACATCAAAATCTACAGTGATGTTCTTACCTCTGGTATTATAGGTGTAGGTTTTTTCTTATCCAAAACTTTTGGCTTTAAAATGACTTTCTCCACCTCCAACATTCCTATTGGTGTGTTTGGCTTAAATTTAATGGGGTTATTTTCAGCTGACTGCAGATCAATTGTGTAACTTGATGGGTTTAAGTGATACTGTGCACAGAGGAATATCAACAAGTCCATCATAGGTTTACTGTAAAACAAAAATAATACCGATCTCATAAGTCCATAAAACAATTTCATTAAATGTTAAAGTTATTATTATCCCTAGCATTTTTCTTAGGGCCTTGTTTTCAGTAGATAAAACAAGGCTATAAAAGAGTATGTGTGAAAGGAACTTAAAAATCTAACTGCACCAAAAATAAATAAACGTTGAAAAAAAAAAAAATCTAACTGCAAGATTTTTTCCCCCACTGCCGGAGGTGTGTACCTGGACGAGGTGTATACCTGCAGGAAGTGTATGCCTGGACTCCAAGCATCTCTCTAACTATAAGATATTTAAGTGGACAAAATTATAATAGTTAAAAAAATCCTGATTAATATTCAAGAGAGCTTGGGTCCTAGTGCTGGTTTAAAAGTTACGTATATTTTTTATCTGCCAAGTTGTCATCGTATTATACATTTTAAGAGAAGAGAAGTCCTTTCCTTACCCAAGAGTACCTTGATAGATGCTCCTTCACAATATTATTTTGAATACCAGCAGTCTTTTGCTTAAGAACCGGTTGTGCTCCAAAGAGCTCATAAAAACGAAGCATTAGGAACCACAACCACCCCAGGGTGCCTGGCTGTCTCAGTGAGTAAGCATGTGGCTACTGATTTGGGGTCATGACTTCAAGCCCCATGTTGCACAAAGAGCTTACTTAGGAAGGAAGGAAGGAAGGAAGGAAGGAAGGAAGGAAGGAAGGAAGGAAAGAAAGAAGGAAGGAAAGAAGGAAGGAAGGAAAGAAGGAAGGAAGGAAAGAAGGAATGAAGGAAAGAAGCAAGGAGGGAGGGAAGGAAGGAACGAAGGATGGAAGGAAGGACGGAAGGAAGGAAGGATGGACCACTACCACCACCCTTTGGGCTTTAGAAAGCACAATGAGTATCTACATGAAGAAGCTCACAAAATTCTAAAGAAGTGTATAGTACAGATTTCTTAATTCATTCAAATAATATTTAATATATTCTAGGCCCTGGAGACACAATACAAGTGTTAACAGTATATCTGCTCTCACAGATCTACACTACTAAATAGACTAGACAAAGTGTCAGCAAACTATAGTCTGCAGGTCAAAGTGGGCCCATAGACTATTTTTGTAAATAAAATTTTATTGGAACACAACCATGCTCACTTGTTTACATAATATCTAGGGCTGCTTGTGTGTTACAAAGGCAGATTTGAGTTGATGTTATAGAAACAGATGGCCCACAAAGCCTAACATATTTCCTACCTGGCCCTTGACAGAAAAATGTTATGGGCACTTGTGCTGAAACAATTAGAAAGTAACCACGTAAATGCATAATTTCAAATGGTGATTAAGTGTTACATATTACTGGTAATATAAAACCTGCTTTTATAGGAAACTGCACATCCAATTTGACAGCAAAGACACCTCCCAAGTTTTTGCTTCCCTTACCACAGACTCCAGTTGTTAACACAGATTGTGTTTCCATTCACACCAACAATAGAACAATGTGGTCTCTGAGTCTTTCTTAATTAGCAGCCCTCAAGGGAAGAATACTGAAGATCTTTTGTATTATGTGATTTCCTCAAATGTCTGGATGATCTTAAGCTGTTAGTTCATATTGAAGACTGAGGCACTAAAACACTCTGTAAAGGCCTATTTTCATGGATTAGGTATAGGTTGATGGGCTTCATTTGATGGTAATTAGGTGGCCAATTATTTTTTTTTTCCATGGGGAAATATAAATGCCAATAAAAAATTCTCCAATTTCTTGACTAGATATGAACCTGGGTACTGGCTTTCAAGAACTTGACAGGGAAATGAGGCTAGGAGTCTCACCATTCAGTCTGACATTTTAAATTTTGTACATCTGTTTTCATATGCACCTCACCTCCACTCTCCTTCAGTTTTTCCACAGAGGCAGTCTCCTCCTGGAAGAGGGTTAGTTGTCTGCAATGTGTGGTCTTGAGGTTAAACATTTTACATAGATTCTCAAACCATCTCCTGTGTTCATTCCCCTACCTCACCCTTACCTCCTGTGGCTATTGCCCAATCGTTCACATCCCTTTTCCTTTCCCATATACAAGTAGCACCCCACTATACATATATAAAGAAAATGAATAAAAACTCTAAGTCCCTCCATAAATTAAAAAAAAAAAAAATGTTCTCTGGAATATGTTTCAGTCCTTAAAATATGTTCCCTAGGCCTTTATTAGATGATTCCACAATAATAAACTTAGGAATTTTATGTCCTCTTGAGCTATCTTATATAGAATATATAAATATATATTCCATATATAAATTTGTCTATAATTGCCCAAATTTTGGCAATGAGTAGGATATATTAAATTTCATCCACAGGAAGACTAGCTAATGGTATTATTCAAGTTTATTTTTTGGTAACATACTACTATCTTGAGAGCAATTTAATGCTACATACCTATTCTTGACTTGGAAACGGTATCTCCTTTCCCTGATAGTAAATAAAGTTAAAAAGGATCAGGTAATGTCTAGGTAAATACAATATAATTCCAGTAAAGCTGGGAGAGAAACGAAATTTCACATTCAACCAAAATGGAGAGCTGTCCACTACTGTCTATGATAAATGATCATATGTTCAGATTATATTTCTCTCTGTATGTATGTGTGCCATGTAACAAATGCAAAAACACTGAAGCTTATACTTTAAACATTTTTTTACTTCTTAAATTTACAGTTCTTTAGAATCTCTTCCAGAAATATGCAAAAGTTAACAAGATAAAAATATTTATTAGTGCCACCATTTTCATCCTATGTACAAAAATATAAACATTTAAGGAAAACTATATTTTCCATTTTTAAAAGGTAAGAATTTAATACTTTTTATATACACTTATTTAACCTTGCTAATATGACTTAATAAAGTATTGTATTTTTATCTGTGACATTAGTTTTCTAATTTAATAAATGAAGCACATAATGGGCCAAGAATATTATAAGAATGGCCTATTCCCTCAGTTTGGTCATCTACAATCTTTGCACACTATATCAGATTTCATGGCAAAAAGGCTGCATGCTAACTAGATCTATGTCATGACTTTTAAACTGAACACTGCCTAAATATTTTCTAATAAAAATGTCTTTGAAAGGCAACTAAAAATCTCAGAACTTCTTTATCACTATTCTCTCATTCTAGAATTCCATTTAATTCTTTATTCAAGAATTCCAGGAGCCAATTTTGTCTTGAAAATATTCCTATTTCCAGACGGATAAAAATGCAACAGACCAGAAAGTTCTATAACAGATGCAAATGCAGAAGGGAATTTAAGACTGCATATGATAATGGTATTCCAAATTTGGGGGGAAAGAACTGAATTTTCAACAAATGGTATTTGGGAAAAAAGACTAGCCATCTGATTAAAAAAAAAAGTTATATACCCGTTTTATGCCTTACACTAAAGTAAATGCCACGTGGACCAGATATATAAATATGGGGATATTACTCTGGGCGAGGGGAGGTGACAGAAAAGAAATCCATCTCCATGTAGCTTATGTTCTAGATCAGTACTGTTCAACTGTTCTCCAACATGGAAATTTTCTACATCTCTGCTGTCCAATACAGTGACCACTCACCCATACGCGGCTAGTAGGCGCTTGAAATACACTGACACAGTGGGCTAACAAACTAAAATTTTCATTTAAACTCAGCTTAAATAACCACAGGTAGTGGGTGGCCACTGTATGGGCCATAGTAGTTCTGGTACGTCGGTTCTTAAAGTGTCATGCCTGGGCCAGCAGCATCAGTATTTCTAGGACCTTGTTAGAAACACAAATTCTCAAGCCCCAGTCCAGATTAGTGAATCAGAAACTCTGGAAGTGTGTGCTTTGACAAACACTCCAGCCAATTCTCCTGCATATGCTAGTTTCCAAACCAGCAATCTAAAGAGGCTAAAGAAACAAGGAGAATATACAGTATAACAGATAATAATAAATGTTATGATGAAAAATAAGATAACAAAGGAGGTGAGGAAATGTTCTAAATGAAAAAAAAAAAGACATTAGAACAGAGACCTGAATGGAATGGGCTATCTGGGGAAAGAAAATTCCAGGCAGAGTTAGACAAGCTGCAAAGGCCTGGGGGCAATAGTGTGCTCCACAAGTTTAAGGAAAAACAGAAAGCAGTGTGCTGGGGTGAACAAGGTAGACTGAAATCAGAGTGACTTGGGACTTTACCAAGTGAGAAAACACCACTGGAGTTCTGAGGAGTGATGAGGTCTACTTTACATCTAAACGGATTATATGCTGATTGTTGTATTCACAATAGCCTGGGGAAGCAGTTACAAAGCCACTGCAAAAATTTAGGGGTAGATGGTGGCTTGGACTAGTCAGATTTCAGATATATTTTGTAAAGTGTTGACAGGATTAAAGCCGATGCCAGACCAAAAGGGTAAGAAGACACAAGAGACAGAAAAACGAGTTAAGCAGTAGAAAGAGGCCAGGATTGCAGGAACACTAGAACGTGGGAGGGTTGCTAAAAGGACCCAACAGGAGGCCTAAATTGCTAATTTAAATGATTTGCTATATGATACATTAAGGTCCTGGTGCTTACAGGAACATGTTAAATCAAGAAAAGAAAGGAAATTTCAAAAGGTAGAAACATTAAAAAAAAAAAAAAAAATCCAAAAATAAGATATATAGTCAGAGCCAGGGGAGAAGGCTCCAAGAACATTAACCCTTGGGAATCCATAATAATATTATGAAGGGGATTGAACTTTCCACAAGATCTAGGACAAGGGTTCAGGCCAATCTTATCTTGATCTGAAGGAGGAGGATGGGCTCAAGATGTTATGTGGGTTCCACTTATACCTAGATATGCACTCCTTTCTTGCAAGACCCTCTCTTAGCAATGTTTATTCCCAGTACCTAATACAATATCAGTACACAGTGAGGTCAGTGTCACTGAATGAGGAATTTATAGGAACTGTGATTATTTATCTCTTAGGGAATTCTGGTATCTCAAACACATTAGACAATATACAACTGAGTTCTC